TTTTACAGCGCAACCCGCAGAAACATCTCTCCTTAACATGGATCAAGGCACATGCAGAAAATGAGGGGAATTAAGCAGCTGATAGCCTGGCCAAGCAAGCAGCCACTGATCCAGAAGCTGAAAAAATCACAATCCCAGCCCCTCCTTCCTACCTCAAAGGGCTATTACGGGGTCTCAAGGCCTAAATCTTTGGCAGGAAGAACTGGACGCACTGCACAACTGGAAGACGTACATACAGCTATCCTCCCGAAAGTCAGCACTGAACGCAACATTGCAATAGCTCCTCTTACGGCTTATATTACGGGACACGGCCCATTCCCGACCTACTTCAATAGACATGGCATAACAACCACGGACATATGCGCCTGCGGAGCGGAAGGCTCCCCAGACCACTATGTTTTTGAATGTCATCTGACAGCAGGAAATCACCTCCCTCTTCCTATCAACAATAGTGAAGCTTATCACCGCTTCCTTATAAAGCACAAACCGGCAGTAAATACGATTTGCAAAGTTGTTAACAAGCTCAAGAGAATGGGCCAAGATTTGTGCTCTCCTCATTAACCAAAACTCTCAAGACATGATACACTAACTAAGTCAGCATGCAGTTCCACATTCTCAGACACATAAGACTACTCCTAAAATTTACATAAGTCCCTATTACAGACACCTTTCAAATAATGCACAATCAAATGTATTTAACATTTCCTCTTCTGTATATGCATAATACTATTTTTTTTATTTTTATTTTTATTTATTTATTTATTTATTTATTTTTTTCCCCTATGAGCGTGTATTTTGATCCTATTATTTTGTAACTGTATTTTTGTATCTGTATATTTAATTTGTATTTTATTAGAATTTTATTGTGAATGTGCAAAATTACCATAGCAAATTGCAACAACAAATGTCAAAACGGTAAAACGAATGCAATCTGCCCTTGTATGGCCATGTAAATGATCTTGTTAACATTCTAAAAAGCTCCCGAGGCGGCCTCTTGAGGCCCCAGGGAGTTGTTCCTGGTTAGTGGAGGGCGCGGGACACATGCCTGTTTATCTCTGTTAGACATCAGGCGTCCCCGTCCTCCGTTACCAACCAACCAACCAACCAACCAAGTACAAATTTCAATTAGTACTAAGAATGTTTTTTAAACATGTAATCAGTGTGTGCCTGCATAGCACAAGGACCTTGATTTTATGTTTATGATTTTTATTCTTTAAAATATCTAACACCACAACATGTATATGCAGTCAAATAATGGAAACAGTGGAATGAATAAAAGAACATGTTTTCAGACATTCAGAAAAGTCTAAGGTTTCTTTTGTTTTGCTTAAATAGCACACTTGGTAATAATTTATGCTCTAGAAAATTTTTCTTGTGCCCTGAAAACTGAAATCTTAATTATGGAAATTCTTTTTTGAGTTTTTCAATCAGTTTAGAGTACTTTTTATGGAAAAGTTATTTTCAATACTCATCAGAGAAAGAGCAAGTAAGCATGCACCCCACAAAGCTGGGGAAAATTTTGTGACTCTGAAGCCAAGATACACTTTACCAGAACTTTAATTTTAAGATTAGTTGAAAACTCAAAATGGGTAAGGTGAGTATGTGAAGCAGAAGGGATTGTAAATAAAATAATAGCTTCTCTTTCCCTATTTTTAGCTCTTTTCTACCCTTAACCAGTCCCTCTATAATATATTTAATATATTATGGCCTAATTGGGTAGTTTAACATTGTAGACTGCAGGTGGAGTTGAAAAGTACTTTTTTTAATAAATGACCCTTTAATTTATTAAAAAAAAAGAAATGAAATTATTGGATTCAAAATTATAGATCACTTTGTTAAAAATGTAATTTTATCCATGCTGACTATTATTTCCAGTATGAAATAAATTCAAACTTAGCTTTCAATGGATGATATTTTTGTAAAAAAACTGTAAGAGGATTGGTGAAAATTTATCATAAAAATTATGGAATGGAGGTATCCAGTGAAGATGTAATAATATTTGTATTGTTATGAAATGTACAGGCGCAGTGAGACGGCTTCCTCGCAAAGCAGTTTTAAGGTTGCCACATTTGGCGAGAAATCGCCCATTTGGCGACGTTTAGCGACACAATTGGCGATATTCCATGGACGGATGGAGAACCTTCTGGAACGAATTCTTACCGGTTTAGCCCAGAATGTTCTCGAACACAAGCTGAAAGCTATATAAACCCTGCTGATCTGCAGTCAGTGAGTAAGTGCCTTGGCTAGCGAGCTGAGAGTTAGTATCAAGTTGGTGTCTTGTCTAAAGAGTTAATCTCTGTGGAGTCGATCCAGTTGACAGCCGGGCAGCGAGTGGGTCATCCAGTGCACCGAAAGAGTCTCGTAGAGTATCGTGATTAGTGCATCATCGAAAAAACGTGTTGAGCTCCGGGAACGACTGAACTGAATAGTTGGGAGTTGTGCTCTGTGTGTCATTGAGTCCATCGCGAGTTGTAGTGTGGAGAGTCTCGAGAGTATGCGAAGTTTCGAGAACGACCAAGCAGAGTCAGGAGCTTTGCAGTGAAGCTGATTCCACCGTTATTGCCTGACAGTGTGAAGGCTGTGTCGCTGAATGTGTCAGTGTGTTTATAACAGTTCAACGACTGTAAAAGTGATTTTGGAGGTATCTCATTAATATTGGTAAATAAAATGTGTTTCGATATTTCATCAAGTGTCGTCGTTATTCACTCCAAATCTACGAACCCCGTACGAGAGTGAAGGAGAAAATAACATAACAACTAGTGTGAGAAGAAAGAAAAATGCAACAGTATGATATTCAAGAAACATATTTGACATATTTTCTATCAAGTTAACAAATTATGTAATGCTTCTCAATTTTAATTCAATTTCAGATGGCATTTAAATTCAAGAAATATTGTCTGTTGAGCAATTTTGTATCAATGCATTAATTAGTGATGTTTTTAATTTAATTATATCTACTTATATTTAATGCACTTCAGATCTTTGAATATTATCCAAATGACTGAAGCTTAATTTACTAAAAATTAAGAATTTTAAAATTAATTTCACATTATTTGAAAAGATAGATATACCATATTTATTCGAGAAATTTTCCCCTTAGCGTTTTAGCACAAGGTTCTGAAAATGTTTTAAGCATTTAGGTAATTTTCAACTTCTCAAAGCGTTCACAAAGTGCTAAATTCTAAAATGAATTCAACCACATGATGATTGTTCTCATCTTACTGAATTTGCTCATGGAATTTGGATGCATCTAGGGCTGGCACCAGAGATGGTGCAACCTGTGAAATGGCACCGGACGGCAAAACTTTTAGAATTTACAAAGAAATCTGACGGCAAAATTTAGAAATTGCAGAGTTTGCAGCAAGTGGCAAAATGTTTAGCACCAGCCCTGGGTGCATGTTTTCTTGATGTTTGAAGCACTTCAAGCAAATGGGGGTATCTAATCATTCAAAGGGATGTGAAGATTATTCCACATGCGAAGAATGATTGCATGGTGAGAAAAAAGATGGCTATAGCCTGCAAATTGTAGCTAACAACAGAGACAGCCATTCAAGCAGCATTAAATTATTTGAGGCCTAGGGAGTAGCAATGAACAAGAGTAAAAGCAGGCGAGATTTGGAATATAGGGAAACAGAAGTGAATATATTTTATTAGATATTAATATAACTCTGAATTCTTATTGGAATGTAAGTTTCTTTAAATAATATTGTTATATTTGCCAGTAGTTTTTTTTTATTTGTTATGTTCTTATTGTACAGAAATAAAATTATTTGCATAATTTTCCCCTCTCGATTTCTCATCTTCCCCAGCCATGTTTGGATGTTAAAATTAATGAAAAGAGGCAGGGTAAATACGTGTGTATTGTGATACTTTTAGCAAATAAAATTTTATTTTCATCCAAAACAAGAAAAAAATATTTTTATGCAAAGGAATATTATTTTCATAAATTTAGAAATGGTCTTTGTCGCATTTTATTTATCCAGTAAGGAATTGTTCATAATTTCAAAATTCCCATTCACCTGAAAAGTCGAGGGAATGAAAAGTAGTCAGGGAAACTATTTATTTGTTCCAAAAAGTCAGAGAAGTTAAAATAATAAAGAGGAGTACAGATCAGTCCTATCCTTATTGTTTTTCCTGTGAACACATGCATACACAAACACACACACAAAAATTTAAAATATCTGTGGGAAATGAAAGCAAATAAGAGTTATTCTAACATTTGTTTTTCATGCAGGAAGTATGTTACCTCTCTGTGTTACAGCATTGTCAAACCACAACTTTCTTCTGCACTTCTTATCAAACTGTTTTTCAGTCTCTCTTTAAAAATCCATCTGTTCTATCCCTGTCTTTTTAAGAGTGTAATTTTATTTCAAAAATCCATTCTGTAGTTAAGAAATCTTAGCCTTGTGTAATAATAATTAATCATGTTGGTTAACTATTTTTCTTTAAATCTTATTCTCAGCTCCTAATTTTAATTCTGAAGCACTAGAAAAATAATATTTATAAAATTTATTTTATAGTATGAACAGTTTTTTTCATATTTATTTTTAAAAATCCTACATATAGTTTGAATGGTTTAAATTTTTCATATATGTATTTGTTTTACTTTAATTGCAGTAATAAATTAAGATAAACTTTTATAATGCTTTTTGTTATTGTATTTTTACTTAGTTATAAAATTAAATATTAATAATTTTATACATTTACTATCTCTTTTATTTGGTGAGGTATATTGTTCTTTCATTTGGTTACAGAAAGGTTAATTAACTTAAATTTCAGTAAGAACCAACAACTTATTGAAAACTCTCTGAAAATTAAAGAAATATAATTTAAAAAGAAATGCACACCAAGCATTTTATTTACCGAAAGCGATGCGTTATTAATTCTCTAAATTTTAGTTCATTAAATTTTATAATTTACTGCTGTATATTTTAATAACAGGAATAAACTTTGTTCTTTACCATGTATACCATCTTGAATAAATTTTTATGCTATTGCAGGACTTCAGAAAATTCAACTAGCAGTAAGGCTGTTCTTCATTTTACTCATGCTGGTGGAATTAAGAAAGTTTATTCTGCATTTGGCTTATTTCATGATGAAAAGCCTTTGACAGCTAGTGGATACTGTACTCAGAGCAACAGAAAATGGCAGTCTAGCAGAATTGCTCCTTTTAACACTAATATTGTATTTATTCTCTACCAGTGTACAAATGACCTCAAAGTAGCTGCATTTCATAATGAAAGAATGGTGAAACTTGGAGGATGTTCAAATAAACTATGTCCTTTGCATGATTTCTATAAACACTATGAACCTATTGCAGAGAACTGTGATATTAACAAAATATGTTGCACCTGTTGCAAGTATTGATGCTGTATTTTAAAAGATTCTAATCATGGACATCAAGCGCACACAAATATAAATTTTAAGTTTAAAAAATGCAATATTATCTATTTCTTTGTTAATATGTTTAGATACATTATCATTGAAAATCATGTATATGATATTCAGCCAAACCTCTTTAAGCTGTTATTTAGACAACATGGCTCTACATCACTTTTTTCGAAATCTCAAAATATCTCACCTCATTCAAGTGAGGGAGATCTCTTTATAATTTCATTTTTTGGGCATGTACTTGTAATTGCTTTCCTTTATAATAATGACATCTGCTTTCTAAACTTGACACATTTCAGTAAGGTATCAGACAGTACAAGAGCTATAATTGTCATAATCCCTACCTTCTCAGACTAATACAACTCTATAAAATTGACTTTTGACAATCAAAATATAATATCAAATATTTTCAAAATATTTTTTGAAATGTTACCTGTTTGTAGAATTTCTTAGAGTTAAATCCTCTCCCTTACTTTAACTGATGTGTTGCTACAAATCAGCTCATTTAAAAATAGGCTTGCTACTGCAAACTTTAGTATGATTTAGAAGATTTTTATTTCTACTTGTTTAAATGATGAATTTGACAAGGAGCTTCATGCTTTATCTAATTCCATATACATCTTTTTCTGTTTAAATTTGGGAACATTTAGAAAGGTCATGTCTGTGAAAATATAATAAGATGGACATTAAATGAACACGAAGAGACAAATGCTTTTAAAAATTCACTGTTAGCAAAAGCTTTTTCATGTGATTTAATAAAAATCAGAAATAGTCTTATTCATGAAAATCTTTTAAATCTAATCCATGTAACAAAAGCCAAATCACATGCGCTTTAAAAAATAAAATGAAAGTGATGTGAGTAAAAGTAACATTTCTTTTTTTCTCTAGACTAAACTTTTTAATGTAAAATCTTGAATATCAATTCTTTGAGAAAATCTCAGTTAAAATTTTTTAAATGTGCTTTTGAACACTGTGTGTAAAATGGCTTATTTTAATCAATGGCTTATTCCAAAAGTGATATACTTTTGAGGTTTGGCTGCATATATTATTATATGTACACATGTATATTAGTTATATTGCTTATAAATATGTTATGTCTGAATTTAAAATGAAACTAATGTATGTCCTTTTTTAAACCAGTGAAATAAAGAAGAGTATAATAATTTTGAAGCATTTATATGAAGAGCTAATATTCCTTATTTTTAAGGGTCAGTACCGTAATTTCCGGAAGAAAGGCCGCATCAGCGTAAACGCCGCACTCGAGAAAAATGGCGGGGAAAAAATTAAAATTACACAGAAACGCTGCAATAGATTAAATTGCGCGTGACATCGTCGTGGGCCGTGTAGATGCAAAAACTCAACCTAAGTCCTGTTATATGACATACCATCTCCCTTCAGAATAGTCTTTCGTTTAAAAATGATCATCGGCTTTAGTTTGTCACCGTTTGCGGCACAAGCTAATACACATGTAAATGACGTTCTTTCATGCCCCGTCATAAACATAGATACAGTTTTTGCACCAGTTTCATCAACAGTTCTGTTTGCAGGAGAGTCAAAAGCTAACGGCGTTTCATCCATATTTATTATCTGCGACCGAAGAATTTTTTTTTTTTTTTTTTTTGTCAATAATAGCTGTCACATATTTTAGAAAAGATGACTTTTTATCCTGCCAGTCCATTGGTAATTGTTGCCCGACTGTTGTTCTAGTATGCACAGAAATATTTTTTCTTTTCATAAATCTGCTATACCTCCTTTGAAATCATTTATGTTCATTCGTTTTGCTATAAATTTTGCTTGTAAGCGAATTTTTACAGTCGAAATTGACATTCCCTTTCCTCGTTGCTCCTTTATCCAGTTTGCAATGTCGTCCTCTAGATTTGGCCACCTTACAGTACAGTACCACTTCTTTTGGCTCGTTTCTGTTGTGGCATATTTTTAAGAAGTTCTTTTTCAGTTCTCCAACGTCGAATACATCTGTCGTCCACTTCAAACTCTCGAGCTGCTGCTCGATTTCTAATTTGTTCAGCACGTGAAATTACATTAAGCTTAAAACCAGCAGTATAGCTTCTGTGCCGTTTAGGGACATTTTCAAAAATTTTCCGCTCCCTTCTTTCTTAAAACTATCCAACAAGTACTTGTACCCAAACTGATGGGATCTGTATCTGGCAGAATGCCAAGAAAAATCCATTCTTGCTGAACAGGAAATACGTCAGAGTTCGTTATTGCGAGGCAGGTGGAGTCGTGTCCGCCTTTGTTTTCAAATTTTTTTAAATTGCAGAAAAGGCAGGGGTGGGGAGAGGATGGGTCCTGGAAGATTCATCGAATGGCAGAGGAGAGAGACTATTCGAACTGATGAGAATGTTGATTTGAAAGGAGGAAGAATGTTATTGTTCTGAGTTCTCGTTTAGGGTGAATAAGGAATGTAAGTCCGTTCAAGGGAAAGAATGTAAACAAAATAAAGTTCGCAAAAAGCAACTGAGTGGTCTTTTGTGAGGGAACAGCACCAGTCTATGCACAATGACAAGGCCATCCAAACTATGTACAATGACCATCATAGGAAATATTTTATTTTTATTACACGTAAACGCCGCACCCGCTGAAAATTTAAGTTTTAAACACGTAAACGCCGCGGCGTTTCTTCCGGAAATTACGGTAATTAAAGTTGAAAAATCATTACTGATCATAAAATTGCAATCATATATTACATTGATTTTTTTATTGATAAATGTTCATATATTAAAAAATCTAATACAGTATTAATCAAAAATATGGTGGAATATCATTTGTAAGGAACACAAACAGTACATAAGGAAACCTTTTTCAGAGGGAAAAATGAATGAAAGAAATGAAAAACTATTAGACCAATGTCTTACATAATTCCTGAAAAGTGCCTAGTGCTTTTTAGAGGTAAGAATGGTTCTTTCTTACTTTCATGGCTTAGTATGACTTGTAATGAAGGTGAAAGCAGCTGAAAACAAATTGCATTTTCTTTGCTTTTCTCCTACCTATACATCCACAAAATGTATTAAAGAAGATAGCTATGATACAAAATTACGTTTTTCAATGAACTTACGTTTCTAATAGCATTGAATTGAATGTTACATTCAATTCATCAATGTGTGAGATTGTGCATGATATAAATTATTCAGATTTTGACATTAGGAATTTGAGTACATGCACAATAATTTGTTTAAATCATGAGAAAGAGTTCTAGAATGCAATTAATGTATCTGTAAAATTATAATTACTTTTATGAATTTTATAATAATAAAAATTTTATTTCTGCTTCTATAAAATAGTTAAACAGTTTACTTGATATTAAATTTTCTTTGTGGATTAACCTTATATTATATTTGATCTATGCAATAAGGTGATTAAATATTCATATATTTATTAATTCTTTTATTTTTTATTCCTCAACTACACATATTGGAAAATATTCTGCTACTCATTCAGTAATTTTTGCAAAAAACGATTTTTATAGCAATGTTTGAAATTTAGAACAAATTTTCTTAGGCATAAATAAACCTTGAATTTTAAGATTTTGCTGATGGGCAACACTTGCATTTCCCACAATGACAGTCAGTACCACCAGACTTTTGACAACATGTACATACATCACACTTGCAACTTGGGCTGAAATGAAACATAAAATTTATATAATAACTAAATGAACTTAAATTGAAACATTATTTAATACAACACATTTAAAAAATAATAAATCACTAATTTTATTAATATTTTGGACTCGTTTTCTTAAAACATATATTTATCATAAATAGTTTGAGAAAATTTGCACTATTAATTCTAATTGCAGTATACAGTGACATCACTGGGAGAAATATTTGTTGCTATTAGAACCTTTTATGAAGGTCAGCACAATGGATAGTAAAGAAATCGTTAAAATTTAAATACAGTATTTATAGTATGATTTATTGTAGAAATGCCCTAATATTTGCCACCAACATCTAGATCAGCTTTTAAGCAGTCTTAAAAAGATACATGAAGTCTGTGAATCTGCTTAATACGCTGGTGGACAACTGCTAAGGACTGATGACAGCAGCGATAGCAACCATAAAATGGAAAGCAGGAAAATGTGGAAATTAGTATAAGTACGGGATACAGTAAGATGTGTCGCGCATATGCAAATTTTGGATTGCCGAAATTGTTCATCGCGTGATGCTCTGATAAAAAAGATGTGACGTGTGTTGACCTTTGTTATTCAAAAGCAAAATTTAACGAGAAAGAATCAGTTGGCGAAATTGCAGCAATTTTTGGTATGTCTTCCCGACATCACTTATGATTTTACGTGTGGTCGTATTATTGGCAAGATTAAAGAAGGGCGAAAAATAACAGATGTTGGTAATCTGTTTGACGTCAGCCACAATGTTGTTTCAATGCTTTGGAAATCATTTCAAGCAAATGGAATGTATAGAAAGCGTCTCGGCGTATGTCGTGTTGTCGACGCCTGAAGAACATTAACACATAGTGATATCGACAAAGAAAAAAAAAAAAAAAAAAACCGTCGCAGCACAGCTATTTAGGTAACAAATCAGTTAATTACTGCTGCTGGCGAGCGAATCTCCCAAAAAACTATAGCCAGCGTTATGGAGATTATACATCCGCCGTTCTGTTCCATTGTCCAGACAGCAATGTACCGTCTGTTTGCGATGGTATAGCGAGCATTGTAATTGGACTCAATAGACCTGAGCTTGTGTACTATTCTTAGATGAGAGTAGGTTCAGTCTGTTACCGGATTATAGACGCCAACTGACCTGGTGGAAGGGTGGTACTGCTTATCGTCCAAAAATATCCAGGAAAGGACGTATGTCCAAGATAAAGTATCATGGTATGGGTCGGCACTAGGATCATTGGGCGCATGTTCCTACATGTGTTTGCGCATGTTCCTACATGTTTCTACATGACTTGCCAACGATAAATTAACAATGTTCTGATGCCTCATGTTCGCATGTTCTGTAGTGCTGTCGGTGATGAATTTGTTTTCATGGACGACAACGCAACATGTCGTCGAACAGTCGCTGTCCGGGAATGGCTTAGAGAGTGAGGATATTCAACGCTTCGTATGGCCAGCACGTTCTCCAGAGCTGAATCCCATTAAAGATGTTTGGAATGCTTTGGAGAGGAGCCTTGATGGTTGACAATGCCCTCCAATAAACAAGGACAGCCTCATCCGTGCTCTGCAATAATTGATTTTTCGGGACGGGAACATTTTTGGTAGATTGCGTTAACACTCCGATTGGTTAATCTTGATTCTTTCACTAAGCTTACGCTGACAACAAGGGGCACTGACGATAATAATTGCTTTTTTTCCTTCCGCGCAACTGCCATTGTCAGCCTCATCTCACAGTTGATTGTATACGCGTGAGATTGTGCATGCTATGTTTGTCATGTGTATGTTAGACTTCTGCTAACTTGGATAGTTTGATTTTACGCATTTGTACTAACGTTCTAATGATGGCGTGTTCAAGCAAAAAGCAGAAACGTATCATTTTCATTCGAAATGGGAAATCAATTGCTTCTAATATAACGAGGTAAAGGACAAATTTGTGTGTTTTTACCGTGCTGTGCAAATATATCAATTGGGAAGAAAGGGAACGCCGAACAGCACTTCAAAACCGTTTACGCGGAATTGAAAAGGATTTCTCACTGAATTCTGCTCTAAGGAAAGAAAATGTAAGGAAACTAAAATCTGAATTTAATGCTCAACAATGAACTTTTTAAGAACCATTTAAAGAGGGATAAAGTAATAACTGAAGCGTCATTCCGAGTTTCAACTATTACACAGAATTAGGAACACCGAATATTGAAATAATCAAAACTGTATTTTTAGAAGCTGCAGATGTATTATTTTATAGTTGCAAAAATAAAATGAGATAATATTTGCTATTAAATCTGTACAGCTTTCTGCAGATACAGTAATGAGAAAGGTTAAATTTATGAGTTCTGCCGTTACCTCACAACGTAAAAGTGTCTTTGATCACTGCAACTATTTCTCCCTGCAACTTGACGAATCGATTGATATAGTTGATACAGCTCAGTTGGCCGTTTTTGCAAGAACGGCTTTTGATAATTTCAAAATAATAGAGAAGCTGGTAAAGATTATTCTGTTAACAGGACGCACTACAGGGCAGGACATATTTTTAGCAGTTAAAGATCTTACCAACTCTAAAAATATTGTTATAAAAAAGTTAATGGGCTTAACAACTGATGGAGCTCCTGCGATGGCAGGCAGAGAGAAGTCATAACTTTGTGTCGTAAAGACAACAGCTTTCCGAAATTTCTGTCTTACCGTTGTGCAGTATACGGGAGTTACCGTGTGAAAAGTTTTTAAGAATGATTAATGTAATGAGAACATTCATAAAAGTAGTGAACAAAATTAGAGCAAATGCAATTCACAGATTGTTGTTTCCTGTCGCACAGATTGTTGTCACACAGATTCACAGATTGTTGTTGCCTGTTTCCTATCTTGTTGTTTCCTGTCACACGATTATTCGCTTATCAGTTCTTAAGATTCTTCACTTACAAGAGTAACTTAGAAATACAGAGTGAGGAACTCCACAAGAGTACTGATTGATTGCCAGTATGGTGATCTGTCGCTTCATACTGAAGTTCGTTGGTTGAGTAGAGGCAGAGTTTCACACCGTTTTCAAGAATTGCTTTCTGCCTTAAAAGAATTTTTTAAAGAACGGGGTGAACCTTTCCGTGAACTCGCAAGATCCGCTTTGGCTGAGGAATTTTGCTTTTCTCACAGACCGAGAAGTTAAATATCCTTAACTTGCAGTTTCAAGGTAAGAATAAAGATACTGACGGAGAATAATTTCGGTTACTGCTGTATTCTTAAAAACGCTTGAACTGTGGGAAAAAATAATCATCCAGGGTGAAAACAAACACCTTGCCTGTTTGAAACAAACTCTTGACAAGCAAGGACCTTCAGCGCCTCCTTACAACAGCAAACAATACATTGAAATTATTTCAAATTTTGAGAAATCAATTCAACAAACGCTTCTAAGATTTCAAAAGGATTCCATCTGTTGGACAGTTTTTCAAATCGCTTTTTATAGAGATTGATGAAGAGTTCTCTACTTTTATCATGGAGCATTTTGATTTTCAAGATAAGTGCTGTAGTGGAGTTGGAACTGATTGATTTTCAAAATGATTTATCTGTAAAATAGCTTTATTCAAGCTCTGAAATTGGTTTCTTTCCTAAAGAAAAATACCCAACTTTTGTCGAGGTTTATCTCAAAGTGAAGGCAATGTTCAGCTTTACATGTCTGTGTGCGAGTTTTTTTTCCGGTATGAAATTTATTAAGAATAAGTATTTAAGCAGTCTTACTGATGAACACTTGGCAACTGTATTCGAATGGCATTACCTACTTTCCCAACATTAAAAAAACTTGATTATAAAAAAAAATTCCCATCCTTCTCATTAAAGTTTAATAAGTCTGATAAAAGCCTGTTATTACATTTGTTATTTATGACTAACTGTACTTCAGTTTTTTACGTACAATTACTTTCTTATGAATTTCAGTTTTTTATATACAGTTTAGTTAAAATTAATTTCATATTTACTAGATATGTAAGTTTATGGGCAATAAACAAATGTAAGATTCTTTTTAGAAGATGGTAGTTCTTTTGGTTGGTAGCTCACAGTAGGATTTAAAAACGGTACAGTAGCTCAGAAGCTTCATAAATTTGGCGACCACTGGTTTAGATCTACGGATTATTTGTCAAAATTAATAAAAGTATTTTTCGAAAATAATTTTGTTGTGTACACCAGCCAATAGTTAGAAATATGATAAAACCCTTCGCAATTCTCTACTTTGAAAATCAAATTAGAAAACACGCGCTTTATAACCAACCAATTACACTGATACTTCAGACTACAAAAATTTAGTTGTTTTCTATCCTCGTTAGGTACTTTGATCAACGAAATAAAACCATTCAATTTAAAATTCTAGATTTAATCACTCTCCCTGGAGAAAAACCGGAAATAGTCAGCAAGTCCATTATTGATACGTTGGATTCAAACAACTTGACAAATGAATTGGTGATATAGTTTGCAGACAAATTTTGAAGAATTCTAATTTTGGAGGTAACAGAAAAGCAGCAAATAACGTATTTTTCCCGACTGAATAATCAAATAAATCGCCGAATAATTGGAGTAGACTGCATAGCACGCATAATCTACCGTTCAGTTCAAACTGCATTTGATTTGCTTCCTATCGATACTGAAGAAATAATTGGCAAAATTTGTAATGACATTTATATTTACACTGTTCGAACAGGAAATCTGAAGGAATTTCGTGCTGACGCAGAGGTAGAATACAAGCGATTACTATACAGATATCCAAAACAACTGGTTAGCTCTACTATCTGCAGCTGAAACAGTGTTACAATTGTTTAATCCTTTAAAATCTTACTTTCTTCCGATTGTTATTGTCCGATAATTAAATAATTTTTTATTTAAATTAACGAGTTGAACTTTGGATTCAATTATCTAACCACAAGCATCAATGTTTCATAATTTAATAAAAAGAATAGAAGAACAATTGTTGAAATTACGGAAGAAGTTAATGATATTGTTTTCATATTTAAAGAAACATTCTTTAAATTCTACATTTCTGCCAAGTTTAAACGTTATATTAAACAATATAATTGAAAATGGAAACGTAGACCAATAATGGTTTTTTAATTAAATAAATTTTTGTACTAAATGTTTTTTTTTTATCTAGAATTATGGGACAAACGATTTGAGGACATTACTAATTTTAAATGGATTGATTCAAAATGTTAAATAGATTGGACCAAAATAGAAGAAACAATAGTTTTCATAAAAAATATTTCCTCAAAAACAAATATACGTCACTGGAAAAAGAATTATTAGACGAACTATTATATTTGAAAAGTTATGTAAACTTTGAAAAACCTCAGTAATGGTATCATGAAGAAACGCCGATAAGCATTGGATTAAAATTTTAAATTATTTTAGTGAAAGTCGTATTCTTTCTGTTCATTTCGTAAAAGCTATAAAAATAAAATTCACGATTTTTTTCTTAATTATAAATATTTGTGGGCAGCAGAAACATCGCTGTTGAACATTGATACCGTGAAGGTAAGGGTTTGTTTTTGAGGAACTAAGCACATTACCTGCAAAGCTTTCAAAGAACAAATTGAAAATTATGATGAACTACTTGAAAAGGTTAATTTCCTTCAAAGTATGCCATTAATCATTTGTACGAATTATTTATACTTTAAATATTTTTTTACTGTATTTGTATGTTGGTTTTTCATTTATTTATTACTTTAAATACTGTTTTTTTTTTTTTTTCTTTTTTGGTCGACGCTGAATCTTGTATTAAATGTTATATCAATCCCGCATTTAAAAATCCGGAACAAATATGGAAGTTTTTCGATTGAACCACTGTATTACAAACTGTCCTGAACACTCAATCTCTACTAAAAAATTACATTTGTTTTTTAGAGCATCATCATGAGAAATCAAACTATTTCTTTTCAATAATACCCTGCATTCCGACCAGAAAGTTCTAGCAGAAATAAAGCACAGTTTAAAATCAGTGTTTTGACAACCATTAGTTTAGAATAACGTAAAAAGATGTATTCTTTTTTCCCTTCCCCAGGAACTGTTGAGGTATTTTTCAGGCCCATCAGTGACTTAATAATATAGTTAAATAACAGTTAAAGACACATACAGTAATACAGTTAAAGACGGATAGCTGGGCTCAGATTCAAATCCTTGTGAATAGGCTGGCTTTATGAGCATTTCCGAAATAGGTCATTAAACCCACTGTTTCGAGTTCTATAATCTGATCTAATTGGGCAATTGCAGATGGCACATTTCACTTCTTTTCCCTCATCATCTAGTTTAATTCGTAACAGAGCATCCGCTATTAAATTTTCTTTCCCGGGAGTATTGTTTAATTATTAAATTGTACTAGGCTGTGTTATCCATTACGTGTAAATGTGCCAGCTTTACTCAAAGAGTCTTTAGGAAGACATTCCTCTCCTTAGGCAGATAGTCGTCATATCCTTTGCAATAATCCAGTAAATCTAATGCACATTTTTTGTACCATTCATTTCCATTGTAACTTCATCATCATCCAAAACATGTTAACCCATTAGCTAAGGTCAAATTTCTTGATTATATCATTATATTGATTTTTGATTGATTGTTTCCAAAATATTTTATTGTGTGGCAGAGTTTTACAATTTTGCGTTTAGCTATATCCCGCTTTGTGCAGTTTAGCTACTGCTCGCTACGAGATGTTAGTAGTTTAGTATTATAAATAGAAAGAATTATGTCAGTTACTCTCTGTAATCAAATCTGAATTAAATTTCTTTTACTGTACCAGTGTCCATAGAGATTATATAAAGACTTTTAACTAACAGAAAATACTACATTAAACGTGACGTTCGCGTGGAATCTGTATAGTATATACATACATAGTAACATGTCCATAAAAAGTCCTTACTCCCGCAGCTGATCGCACACATATATAGAGGATTTCCTAAGTCGACCAACAAATTCAGAGGGCTGGTAGTAGGCATCAAGAGGATGAAAAATTGCCATAGAAAACATGGGGTATCAAACCATGTTTATTTTAATCGCAAAAATAGTTATGAAGGGTGTGACGTCGAATGTAGAAAAAGGTCATCGCATTTATTTGACATAAAATAGGATTGCATTGCATAAAAGCAGCGTCAGAAAGATCAGTTTTCCTTATATGTGAGTAAAACATTTTGCGTTTTATTTTTTATAACGAGTACAAAATTTTCCTAATCATAAGGACCAGAGTAGCTGGTAAAAAGTTAGGTTTCTTTTTTTATACAAAAGTAATTTCTTTAAAAATATGGAAACTTGAGTTTTTGCGTCATTTAAAACATTTTGTAACTGGAAGTATATGTCTACGACTAACAGCTACAAAAATAAAAGGCCGGATAAAGACTTTTGGGGACACGGTGTATAAGTATGGAATAGTTCAATTGATAAATTATTCATAGTTATTATATTACCAACTTAACTAATATAAAGTACTCTGCACACTGCGTGCATAAGGTACTCTGTTACTAATGAAGTAATGCAAACTTTATTAAGTTATTTTAAAACAAAAAAAAAAAAAAAACAAAAAAAAAAAAAAAAAAAAAAAAAAAAAACAAAAAAAAAAAAAAAAAAAAAAAAAAAAAAAAAAAAAAAAAAAAAAAAAAAAAAAAAAAAAAAAAAAAAAAAAAAAAAAAACAAAAAAATAAGTTAAGGTTCTGAGCTGCGGTGTTCCAGTACCCGTGTTGCGATCGTTCTCCACGTTTGATACGAGTTCTGAAACTTGCTGCGTAAACTCCCCGTCGCTGTAGAAACCATAGATATAAAGCACAATAGCCTATTTTTACCACTTCCAAGCTTCCTAAACAAAAATGAAAGTTGTTTTTAATTATACAAACACAGGGAAAATAGATCTTTTCTACCTTTTCGTTTGGCAGGTCGCAGTTGAACAGCATTTGCAATCGGCGCAGTTGCAGTCGCCTGTACCTTGTTTAGCGATATTACAACCAGATTCTTTACAACAAGAGCTATTTATGCAACAGCAGTCTTTGCTACCAGTTTTGTCACAGCATGAATCTCTTGTTTTGGACACATCACAACATTTGCATTGATTACACTGGCATCCAACACCACACTTTGTCTCCATAATTAATCTGAGGGAAATGGAGAAGAAAATTAATGAGATAGCTTTACTTGAATTCGGAAGTAAAATTAAAGCATTATGCCACATTTTCTGAAGTATGAACGATTAATACTCTTTTATTGCATTAAAATACATAGGTGGATTTCTCTCCCCCCCCCGAAAAAAAAAAGATTGCAAGCATAAGCATTTGAAAAGTAATCATTGTGGAGGTAATATTTTATCCTCAGAGTGGAGGCAAGCACTAGTTATCTAGTAACGACTCTGCGGGTACTCTTACTCTGTGACTAACGAGTAAGCTCGCAGACGCGTCGGAGCGATTGAAATGGCAAGATGTTTAGAAAAATGGCAAGATGTTTAGAAAGCGAGTGATCTCGCTTGGAGGTGCGAGCCGTGATTCGTTGTCCTGATCGAGTATCTGGAGTGTGGCCATACGGTTACTGCCGGTCGTTATTGTGCCACTTAGACAAAGTTACGTAAAGCCATCCAACGCAAGCTCTGGTATGTTGAGTGATTGTGTGATCCTCCTGCATGGCAATGCCCGGCCCCATACTGTTCGCCAAACTCAAGAGCTGGTGCAAAAGTTTAAGTGGGAAGTCTGGTGTCACCTACTCCATATAGCCCAGGTTTAGTACCTAGTGACTATATTCTCTTTCCGAAATTGATGGAACATTTATCTGGAATGAAATTCTCTTTAGAAAGTGTTGTGAAAACAGCCGCCGATAATTGGTTCAATGGGCAAGGATGTGATTTCTACAAAGCTAGGTAAAACAAGTTGCTCCTGCGTTCAGATAAATGCCTAAATAGATTTGGTAATTATGTGGGAAAATGATAGTCAAGTGTACTCTTAATTCCTTTTTGTATTTTCTGTCTATTTTTATTAAATAATTTTTTATAACCATTGTAACCTTTTTTTTTTTTTTTTTTTTTTTTTTTTTTTTGGATTGACTCCCGTAGAAAAAGCAGGTGTTTACATTCAATTGGCTTAGTATACATGAAAATCTTGGAATGAATTTTGAAAAGGCTTAGGATACAAGAAATCTGTAGATATAACCTAATACATACGGAAGACATAAGCAATGTAGACTTTTTTGTACAGCTAGAACAATTGTTCCATTATACTGATTACAAAGCAATATAAAATTGAGGTTTACAAAGATTGTTACAATCATCAAACTTTTGCTGGCAAATAGGTTGCCGCTAGTATCTGATTGTAGTTCGTTGATAATGGGGTGGTGACTATAGGTGTTTTTCAAGATTTGAGTTGGATTGTTTACTTATCTCACGATAATTATACGAATTTTTAAGATTAGTGTAAAATATTCAGTGTATTTGAGTTGCTTTCTCAATTATTACTTTTTGTTTGTTTTTTTAGGGGGGGGCTTGAAGGATGCACATGTAAAATCATTAATAGTATATGTGAATGTAAATTTTAAAAATTATCAAAAGAGGAATGCATTATTAGGTGCTAATTTAAATACTAAAATACCAAACAAGCTTCAAGAGTGTTAAGCGACTTATTTATGTATTCAGTTAATGCCAAATAAATGTTACTTCTTAATCAGCATTTAAAAAGTGTTCATTTATTCAATGATGTTTTTTAAAACTTTATTGTTTCCACTAGGTTAAGTATGTGGACTTTCGATTTAACAAACTTGTGCGGACTATCGAGAGTTAGTCCGCACAATTCCTTAGAATCGAGAGTTCGGGAATATGAATAGTATCTAAAAAAAAAAAATGCAATTTGTCTGCGCCTTTATTTGTTACATATTCCAATAAATAATGCTAATTTTCGACTGCTTCGTTACTACGACTTTAATGTTAATTTTCGACTGCTTCGAAAAGCTTATGATTCTATAGAGCTAATGCTCGCTGGCATTTCATTATTATTGTCTATGTTAAAAAAGTATGTGGGCATTTTTTCGCGTCTCTATGTCTAGGTTTTGAAAGGACCTCTGCACGTTTTTTCCCCTTGTTGGACTGTTGTGCTGCGCTCATATAAAACTTTTTCGATAATATTTGTATTTATTTCTTCCGTAGATGATTGTTTGTTCTCTTTTACATTCAGAAAGTTCTGAAATGGACAGATTTTCAGGCATATAAAAATTTTTCAGATGCAGTTCTTCTATCAGAGTGGTGCTGCAATCGCTATTTCTTCTACTGCAATCTTTAATGAATTCTCTGTATCGAAATGAGTTGACATTAATAGTACAGTTATCCCTTCCACAGCATGGTTTCCTGCAACACTGTTTCGTTCTTACATAAGAACATTGCGGAAACTTTCGTATAACAGGGCACCACGGTTTCATTCTAGTACGTTAAAAAATGCGTAAGCCCTCTTATAACGCTTTATGTATCATACTTCAATAACCTGATTTTTATTCTAAGCATTTACAAAATTAAGTTACGTTTTATGCCTCCTGTGTAGCACACAATAACAATGTATTGATTTATACGCATAAATTCCGGGAATATCCGTTGTCAAGGTCTTTATTTGTCTTGGATTTATTTTTCATTTCCTTTTTGAACTTAGTTGTTTATTCTGGCTTTCAGCTACAATAACTAGCTCTTGCCAGTAACCTCAGGTAATCCCTGCTTGAGTATGATGGTATAAAAAATATATAAGTTGCAACTCGGAACAGTATGGCACAAATAGTGTCTTTGGACCACTATGCAAAAACATATTTCTGGGCCCACACGATCTAAGACTTGTAGCACTCAGAACAGAGGGGGGGGGGAGGAATCAATCATTTTTCATTGATATGATATTGGTTGAGGCTGGATTAATTACTAAGCAATATATAAGCATGTAAGCGGAAAAGGTATAAAAGATTTTTTGAGAGACAAGAAAAGTTTCATAGTGACCCCCTCTCTCTTTTCTGTTCCTCTCTTTTTATCAATAATCACTGAAAATTGGAGCCTCGTTTCAATCGTCATTTGGTTTTTAATCCCGTTTTGCAGCTTTGAGAGATCAGATTTTTATGAGAATTTTCTTTCATCAGGGATGTATTGAGAACAAATAAATAAATCTATATAGAAAAGGAATATGTCATGTAAAATACAGAATTAAAAAGTAACATGCAAAATTATGAGAGAAGCTCTGCAAAAACAGATTTTATATAAAATTCTATTTTGATTTTATATGAAATTTGCATCAATCTAAAGTTTTCTATTCATAATTATAGTTATTTACTGCTTTTTAAGGAATGAATAAATCATTGCTAAAGTTACAGTCCAACAGAATAATTGGTAAACATACAAACAGAAATTATGTTAATAGTACATCATAATTGTTTTAGTTTACAAATATGAATTATTCAAAAATTGGCAAAAACTAAAAATAAAGATAAACCTTTCTTAAACGTAAAACATGCATTGGCTAACCTTAAAACTTACATTTATATCGAATCATTCATAAACAAAGCTGCTTAATATACTTATAATCTTATAACATACTAGAAGTTCCCAAAACAATAGATAACGATTATTAATCTATAAGGTATATCTCTCACGTTCGTGGTGTGGTGGTCTGCACGCTGGGCGCGTATCCAGAGGTCTGTGATTCGATTCCCGGCGAAGGCCTTGCTCATTTTTCATCTTGCTTGCTTTCAAAAATACCTAATGTCTCTACAGTGGCGCCCGAACTAAAAGGGTGTTGGATGATGTTTCTCCTCACTCAGGATTTGGCCATTGGGTCCTCTAAAAACCACAGTCGCCCTTTGAAAGGGAGAGTATATAAGGTATATCTTCCGCCTTCGTGGTGTGGTAGTCTGCACGCTGTGTGCATATCCAGAGATCCGTGGTTCGATTCCCTGTGAAGGTGTTGGTAATTTTTCATGACTTCTGCTTCCAAAAGAATACCTAATGACTCTACAAATCTTTACCCTAAGCTATCTCCTTTCCATGTAATGCAATCTAATATAGGAATGAGCTGCAGCCCTCCTGTCCTGTACTAATCGGCCTCATGGTTAGCCCAGCACATCCAACACACACAAAAGGAAAAAAAATCAGAAAACTGAAACTCAGAAATCAGCAATTAATAACAAGAATTAAACTAAAATCAAATATATACTCATTTTTGTGCGTGGAAAAATATCTTAGTGATATGCGGCAATAATGCCTCCTAATGTCTCCTTCCCTCGTTTTAGCAGCCTTTGCCAAAGACTTGACTCTAGAAATTCGGAAATTGCTTTCACGATCAGATTAGTTGTCAAATAGTCATTAGTTCAAAATCCCTAATGGCCTTCATCATTAACAATTTGAAAGCGTTCGGGTCGCAGCGAATGAGAATAACAATGTGTAATTTACTTTGTATTCGAATTAGCTTAACCCTTTGACGCGCGCGATATTATTTTTATAATTTTTTTAACTAAAAACTCTAGAAATTGAATATTATGATCCTAGAGACAAAAAGTATATGAATTTAAAAAAATCTACTCCTTGCCCATTATTCTGTGGGTTGTGGTCGCACTGTGAAACCACCGCGCGTCTAGGACTTTGAAACTTACTGACGTAGTAGGAAAAAAAAAACTTACCATTTTCGCGCGTGTTTCCGATAAATGACGAAATTTACGTATTTGAAAAAAATGTATGTAAGAATTGCATTATATATAATTTTTTCCCATTATTTTACAAAGTAAATCGTCAGAAAAGATTAAAAAATAAACATTTATGTAATTTTTCTAGCAGTGAAAATATAAGTACCTACATAATAAGGATATTTGGATAAATGGATTAAAAAACTCAATAAGTATAAAAAAGAACTCAGTGGCTTTTTTTTTTTTTTTTTTTTTTTTTTTTTTTTTTTAATTTCAAAGAACAATTTTTTTTGTGACACTGTTCAAAGCATGTTTTGTCTCTTTGGTACAATGCATAGACCCACATTGCACGTTTCGCACATAAATCTTGTTCTATGAGGTTTCTTCCTTGTGCTTCAAAATGTACGCTGCCTGTATTTAAGTTTCACTGGTATATGTCCAGCGTTATTTAGTTTCTTTTGATCTGGCACATGAAATTTGTGGTTTTTTTATGTTAATGGGGGGGGGCTTGGTCTTTTTAGCTTAGTGCGGATCGTTCGTTTCCCATTCATACTTATTTTATTCGTATTTCGTCCCAAAATATTCAGAAAATATTTTTAATTTAAGTAAAACTTTTACGCAATTTCTATTTTTAATTATAGCAAAGTATATTTACATTAAATTTAAACCACTGGAAATCATTTATAAAATCACAATACTAGCTTGAGGAGCAAGTGTGTTCACGTCAGAGAAAAGTATTTGGAAAAGAAAGACCTTTTTACTGGGCAGGTGCATGTATTGTTTAGTAATAAAATAACTCTGTGGTTTCAAAGCCCTTTATCTATATCCGGGTAAAAATAAACATTCCTACTTGAAAAGCAAGCGAAACATTCCTATTTGAAAAGCAAGCGAACGCCACTGAAAAGCAAACGCCAGTGGTTTCAAGGCGCGACCACCGAGCCTCTAGAGGATTGTAAGCATTGTGACACAATGCTCTATTGGCGCAGTGGTCGCGCCCTGAAACCACATAGCAAATGCCATACATATAGATGTTTTTTTTTATATATGCAGTTTAATTACTGCAATTTTTTATTGTTTATGATAGAAATCATGATGTGCGATGACTAACTTTTTGAAATTTAAAGTTGTTTATATTAATAAAAGGAAGTTATTTTGTCTCATCGAAAACGAATTTTAAAAGGCATCCGATCTGAAGTATTAATACCTAAAACATATATGATTCTACAGTCATTTTGTGTTATTTAGATGTAAAAGATCAGTAATCAATTCATTTTCACTCAAAAATTTCGGAAAAAAGAGGAGAAAAAAATTCGGAAAATGGTGGTTTCAGGGCGCGACCACCGCGCGTCAAAGGGTTAATAGACAATTGTGCCAGGTCTCTTTCAGACAGTTCTGATACTACCTTTCTTGAACTGCTCAAAAATGAAGCTATAACAAAGGTTAAGATTAAGACTCCGTTCAGGCGATGATATAAATATCATATAGGCTTACTTTTAAGGCATAAAATGCGGGAGTTCCGTTCGCTATAGCCAGTTATAGACAGAGTCTAAGCTATAGCCAGTAAAGAAGCTAATTTTGCTCATACGTTTCTTTTTTGGGTGTATCTACAGCTTTGCTGCTTAACAGGTTTAGCGCGTTCGCTCTGACTGGTCATGCTCTATACTAGGTCGTCATAGAGTTGAAAACTTCGAACTTTATGCTTCATTTAGATGATGGTTTTGCCGTCACAAAAGCTTTGTGGTTTAAGGCCATAAAAGCCATTATATTCCTTCACACTTGTTCAGCAAGGTTTAAGCCACAGCCAGTCAGGAAAGGCAAAGTTGCGCATTCTTAAATGTGTAGCTGACTCAGCGAAACCGTCAAGTGATCTTTGCTTCTTTGTAATTGGTCGACTGTTATGCCAAGTGGCATAAAGTTGAAAAGGTAGAACATTTAGGCAAAATCCTTAGACTAGTTTTTCCGATTCAGCAAGTTGTGGTTGCCTAGCAAAGGAGCTCGGCTTAGTTCCGGGAATATCCGTTGTAAAATCACCGTGTGAATGAAGCTTTATGCCCAAACCCCTAAACCAGTTTTTGTAACGTACCAGGGTCTGGTTACCTAGCAACGAAGCTCGGCTTGAACCAGTTATGACATTTATACCACCGTCTGAACGGAGCCTAAGGAGTTGAAAAGAAAGGAACTTAAGAAGCTTCCTATTGCTACTAATCTATAACTACATAAACCTCTAATTTTGCTTCAGTAAAAAAAATATTTACTTGTTTTATGAAAACAAAAATAACAGTTCTAGTTATAGTTTCTTCCTAAATTTAGTGTAAATATGTAAATCTAATTCAGTAGAATATGTAAGCGCCCCTCTAAGGCCGTGGGCCTTTATGCGGCTACATTCCTTGATTACTCTTACGCTATTGTCTCGGAAAGCAATCGAATGTTGTAGATAGAAAAAAAAAAAAAAAAAAAAAAAAAGAGGCACATAACTAACTCGCAGTTGATAACCTCTGTTCTCACAATTTTATGTCATTCTACTAATTAATATTTAATGTTTCTTTTAATATTACGGCTATAAATTCACGTATTACCAAATAATGTGTAACGTTAGTATACTCGTATAATAATATTATATAATATATAAATAGCCTTATCAAGATTTTAATAGAATTTGATAATATATGAAATAAATGTTATATCAAGTTTTCTAGACATTAAATTACGTAAAATCGTTCTAAATATAGCGTTGAATTATAAAATGCTTCATAATTTAATTGTTACGAAATGAAATAATGCAAACAAACGGAACAGTATTTAGGAGTTAATTAAACAATTTCAAGATCATGTTATTTAGTAAATCAAAAAAGCTTAGACCAAATTCTCCTGTCAATACGACGCATAATCATTTTCGATCATAATTCAGATGTAGAGATTTCAAGAAAATAATAATCCATAAAAAGGGCAATGAATCGCCACGATCAGTGCTATCAATCCCTGGCTTTTTAAGCACTAGCTTTCTACTATCTGAATTTTGCAAATAAATTAAAATTAAGTACAATGTAATACAGATACATATATATAGATTTGGTTTCTTCACCTTCCTATGGGAGAAAGTTTTTGATTATGACATTCTCAATAGCCCTGCGTACAAATTTCATAACAAGTAAAATTAATAAACCGCTTAATGTTCCTAATTCCGTTAACATATTCATGAATTTTGGATATTTATGAAAGAAAAAGTTAGTTTTTACAAACACCAGGATGTTAATCTTTTTTAATACCTTTTGTTAAACAATTCATTTAGTCTAGATTTGACATAACAAGTAAGAACTTAAAATTAGAAACTTATGGGAATTAAAAAGTAAATATCAAAAGAATGTAAAAATAAAATAAAATAATAATACAAATACTAATAATTCAGATGATAAAATAAAAAACATACTTTGTTCACTTAAATCTTATAAAAGTTAAAGATACCTTTCACTATATTTTAATGCGCAATTCAATTGTTAAATAACGTACAACTGGAAATATGTTTTTAAATTAGAAAAGTTCAGTGTACTGCTTGCAAAAGGAAAGAGTGCCGGCTTAAAAAAAGATAAGTGGTAACCTTGAAGGGTTGAGTTAAACTTTGAGAGCATTGTTAAACCGACAAGACGGCATTTTTTTTTCATCCCATCATTTCAAACAGGTGAAGTAGAAAGTACACATTAAAAAAACTTGATAATGATGTCCTTCATTCCCCCCCCCAGTTTTATTCATTTAATACAAATACTGATAGGCAGTTTACAGAACGGTCTATTTTGATATCAAAATAAAATGACCTTCGATTACTTAGCGATATCTATCTTAATATATACACACGAGGCAGTGAAGAATTACTTGGACACTTTATCATAATTGTATTCGAAACCTTTTTATACCCATCTCTTGCCTTTTTAGAGTAATAAAAACTTCATTCATAAATTAGAACTGATGATAATACGTGCTTCCCATTCCCTTCCATACATACACATGCACACTCTGTACCAATATTTTTTATCTTGTTGAAACGTCCAGGGAAAACGGAAAGTTTTAGTGACAGTTATATTCACTACATTATTAACCAATTGCAATTTATATTCATTTCATACACCATTCTTCTCTATACAACTAACTGTTTTATTGCCAAAAGGGCTTACCTAAATACATTTTAAATGCAAGCTTAGCCATTAAAAATGGCAGCGCGATTTCAGTCCGTCCTGCTTTCGTTTGTTTGACGCAGGGTTTTTACAACTTGTTATGGAGCTTTACTTATATTTCTAATTTCATAATTTTCTTTTATCCTTCATAATTTTCTTTTATCCATAATTTTTATTTTATCCAGTCACTCATTTTTCTTTTCTTTCCGATCGGGCACAGTTTTTCACACCCAGTTTGTTGAAACATTTTTGATTAACAAACACAACGATTTCAAAGCGAGAAATGGCAACACTGTATGGGGGAAAAAAAAAAAAAGCAATCTTGTCTCCAGCGTGCGAGATTGTATATCGGAAATTCCAAAGATATTCTTTTTTAAAATTATTTTATGATATTGTTGTTGAATTGAATTTTGTGGTTTAAGTGTGAAGAACATGATATTTAATAAATAAAGGTAACACACAAAACGTTAACAAAAAGGCTCCTGGGCGTAATGTAAAATCTGAAGGCTTTTTTTCTTCTCATGGGGCTTTTACCATCTAGGTGCAGTAATAACGTTTTTGCTGCAGGTTTTAAAATCCATTAAGATTGAAACTTCAAGGTTTATTTTCAGGTTTCATAATGCTTTGAAATAGTAGGAGACAATCATTTACGCAGATGCAAAGTGGAAAGTTAGCAGAAGATGGTGTTTGAAATTTAAGCCGATTATAATTTTTATATTAGCAGTAAGAAGAAAAGAAAGGAATTCATGCATTTTTTATTGTTATCGTTGTTGTTGTTACGTTTCGTTTTGTATTGTTATAAATTTTGTATAATGTAAAGACCCTAAGAAGCTTTGCCGGAAAAATAAGATTACAAAAGTTTAAACTAGCTTTTGTAATCTTCTTTTAATATTGAGGCTTAATTTAATATTGAGGCAAATGGCTATCTCACTAAATTAGAGGGATATCGTATTCGAATACTTCATCTCTGCCGAAAGTGTGTGTACAGATGCAGAAAACGTGCCAGCAGTTAAAGACTGGAGACGCCCCGAAAATGTCCATCAGTTGAGAAATTTCCTGGGCAATGCAACTGCTATAGGAGATTTTTGAAGGTCTTTTTCTTTCATCGCAAGACCTCTTCACAAACTGATAGAGAAAAGCAAAAGTTCTTACAGACAAAAAATGTGAGGATGTATTTTACGAACTGAAGGAGGCTTTAATATCTGTGATGGTCCTGACATATCCTCAACTCGACAAACCATTTATTCTTGACACGAATGCCAGCAATGAGAGTGTCGTGTTGTTTTGTACCAGGAAAAACGACAAAGAACGTGCTGTGTCATACTGGAGCAAGCGTCTATCTAAACCAGAAAGAAATTACTGTGTCACCAGGAAAGTGTTGCTCGTTTTAGTTAAAGCCGTAGAACATTTACCCCCGTTATCTTTACAGTAGAAAATTCCGGCTTCGTACTGATCATGAATCGTTGACCTGAATATTAATTTCATGAATCCTGAAAGCCAAATAGCTAGATTTATAGAGACTCCAGGAATATGATATAATTATTTCTCACTGGAAAGGATCACTACGTCAATGACCTGTATATAAGGCCTGCCAAGAAAGCTGCCGATATTGTTTCAGGGTCGAAGCGAAATATGAGCTGGTTAATCCGGTCCCACATCAAGTTACAACTTTAAATCGACACCCATGGAGTGACGAAGAAGACATGAAGGAACAGTTGGAAGACGGCGATATTAAACCACAAATTGACTTAATGGAGTCTTCAAACAGGAAACCTACCTGGCAGGACATTTCTCTCTATAATCTTATGTCAGAACAGTGTTAACTGAGACTTACTGTACATTCAGAACGGCATCTTGTACCGAAGTTTAAATCGGATGATAATAGTAAAAATACTAATCATGAAAGTAGGGAAGGCATTCCGATGGCAGCTGGTACTTCCAAGATTCCAGATCCCGGACGTCTTTAAAGAACTGTACAGCAGTGCACTTCGGAATAAAGAAGACTTTGCATAGAGTTCGAGAGCGCTTCTGCTGGAGCAGAAGGGCAGATGTGCAAAAGTGGTGCCAATCGTACGATGCCTTGCAAGCCGGAAAGGACTGAAGAAACGCAGCCAAGGGAAGCTGCAAAGTTGCAGTGAGGGAATGGCTTTTGAATGTATTTCTTTCGACCTCCTGGGACCTCTTCCACGATGGCAACAAATACATCCTCGTTGCCCTTGATTACTTTAGAAAATGCTCTGAAGCGTATCTTATCGCCAGTCAACAGGCTGTTACGGTACAAAGGTGATGATACAGCATTGGATTTCCAGGTTTGGATTGCTTGTTCAGTTACATTCCGATCAAGGAAGGAATTTCATCTCTGCTCTAATTAAAGAACTTTATAGAATACTCGGCATAGGCAAAACCCAAACGACACCATTACATCTGTAGTCAGATGCCATTTGAGAGAGGCTTAATCGAACTATCCTTAATAACCTCTCGTTGGTGGTTTCCAGAAACTAACATTAACATGACTGTGACCAGAAGTTATCTCTGTTCTTACTGGCTTACCTCAGTGCTGTCTGCGAAACTCCTGGCTAATCCACATCCCCGATGCTCTTCGTTCGAGACCTTAATCTGCTTCTTGATCTCTTTTTTGGTAATTCTCCGGCTGCGCCTTCATCACATTCAAGATTTCTGGGCACGGTTTGAAGTGATGCACAGTTTTGCACAAGAGCGAGTTAGTTTGGCCGCGGAGAAGATGAAGACCCGATACGACACGAGAGCTACAAGTCATCGATTCGATTAAGGTGATAAGGTACGGTGATGTGATCCGATTTGATAAAAAGTGCATTAAACTATAGTCACCCTGAGATGGCCTTTGCACAGTCTTAAACAAGCTGAATGGCATCGTAGTTTGGATTCGTAAGTCATCAAATTCTAAACGTAAAGTCGTTCACTACGGCAGGCTAACTCATTACTATGGCCACAGTGTGTAGTATCCATAATGGTTCTAGTTGTATAAAATTATAAATTCATGAATTTGTTTATTGCGCTAGTATTTCATTTGTTGTATGTTATTTAATGAAATTATTGTTTTAGTATTGCATTGATTTCCTTAGTATAGCTTCATGTCCAGGGATAGTACTGGACGAGACGAGCAAGCTTTTCCAGAAAAATGAAATTACAAGGTCATGTCTATTTAACAATGAGGTAAATTCCTATCTCACTCAGCTGACGAGATATTGCCAAGGTGGCGATGGCTACGGCGACTAATTTTTGTTTCAAGTTTGGCGAAAAGTAGCCAAAAGTCGTCAAACTTGGGGAGTATTTGGTTACATTTTTGCTTCGGTACTTGTGTAACTGTAATTGACCTAAATGCCTATGTAATTGTAACTGTATTCGGAACTTATATGTTACTGTAAACGTACGTATTTTCGAGTAATTTCTAGAAATGGAAGGTACTAAAAATTTCTCAGTGGCCGGGAGAGAACTGTATTAGGCCCTAGAGAGCATTAATTTATAAGTTTGTTTCATTTCTCGATATGACGAATCATCACGAGCCCTATAGTGGGATTCTTTTAGGTTTGTAAGAATGTACTACAGTTGTAATCCTGCAAAAATCATGCAAGCTATCAAAGCTTCAAAGGTCTTCAATTTTTACTTCAGAGTTGACTTCGGAGTATTGCGAGATCTCAGTGCGAATTTCGCTTTAAGATGCACTTTACATTGCGTTGCGTCTAATGTTCTCAGTAGTTTGAAGTGGTAACTACTGATTGTGCTCTGTGATACTGAGAAAAACTGTACAGGTACTTTTGTAGAAAGTTATAGAACTTTAAAGAGTTTCTTTTGGGAAAACTTAATTTCATCAAACTATCATCGGTTCCGTGTGCATTGAATCCGTTACGAACCCGTCCGCACGTAATATGATGTTTAATTCGTTATAGCCAATGCTGAAAGATCGCAAAGGATATCTGCCTAAAGAAAGAGATGCTTCTGTAGAAAACTGTACCAAATTTTAGTGGTAGTTTCCTTCTCAAGATATGTCCCGGAATTTTGTAAATGGAAAACATGAATTTGCTTAGAACTTCTGCATATGAATAAGAAGATGCTTTTGTATGATTGGGAAACTCTCAGTAGTCAAATAATTATGCATTCTTGATATGCAATTTAAAGTATCCATAAAATAAATTTTAAAAAAAGTTTGTGAAATAATTTATGGATTTATATTTTAGCTGTGCTTCTTGCTTGAAAAAGTGTACAGTGGAATTAAAATATCTATAGATTTTTAAATGTGTCGCCTTTCAAAAATATTCTAGAATAAAAAAATCTGAAGAATATTTTAACCTGAAAAAGTTGAGCTTTTTGCCAGATTTTTATTTATTTATTTATTCATATCACTTAGTTTATAATAAATTTTTCAAATAAATACTGCACTGA